TTTGTTTCCTCTCCACCTATCCTCTCCTCTATCCCTCTTCTATCCGCCTCCCACTCTCTCCCTATTTATTTCAAAACCCCCTTCCCCTCCCCCTTTTCTGATGAAGGGTCTAGGCCCGAAACGTCAGCCTCTCTGCTCCTATGATGCTGCTTGGCCTGCTGTGTTCATCCAGCCCTGCACCTTGTTGTCTCGTCCTTACCCTTAACAACTTCTCCATTAACTCCTTCCACTTCCTACAGACTAAGGGGGTGGCCATGGGCACCCGCTTGGGCCCAAGCGATGCCTGCCCCTTCGTAGGATACGTGGAACAGTCCGTCTTCTGCTGCTACACTGGCCCCATCCCCCACCTCTTCCTCTGTTATATCGATGACCATATCGACACTGCTTCATGCTCCCACGAGAAGCTTCAACTTTATTAACACCTTTCACCCCAACTGCAAATTCACCTGGACCATCTTTAATATCTCTCTCTCCTTCCTGGTCCTCTCTGTCGCCATCTCTGGTGACCGCCTTGAAACCAATGTCTATTTCAAGCCCACCAACTCCCACAGCAACCTAGACTACACCTCCTCTCACCCACCTTCCTGCAAGAATGCGATCTCCTATTCCCAATTGTTCCGTCTCCACTGCGTCTGCTCCTAAGGTGGGGCGTTCCACTCCCAAACATCCCAGATGTCCTCTTATTTCAAGGACCGCAACAACCCATCTTTGGAGGTTGAAAATGCTGTCGACCGCATCTCTTGCGTTTCCCGCATCTCTGCCCTCACATCCCCTCCTCACAACAAAAACAAAGACAGAATCCCCCTTGTCCTCAAGTATCACCCCACTAACCTTCATTTCCAACGCATCATTCTCCACCACTTTCGCCACCTATAATCCGACCCCACAACCAAAGAGATATTTCCCTCCCCACCCCTATCTGCCTTCCGTAGGGACTGCTCTCTCTGCCACTCCCTCATCCGCTCCACACTCCCCACTAACCCCACCACCTCCACCACCTTTCCCTGTAACCGCAGGAAGTGCCCCTACACCTCCCCCCTCAGCTCCATTCAAGACACCAAACAAACCTTCCACATCAGACGGAGATTCACTTGCACATACGTCAATGTGGTCTATTGCATCTGCTGCTCCCGATGTGGCCTCCTCTACATCGGTGAGACCAAGCGGAGGCTCGGAGACCGCTTTGTAGAGCACCTGTGCTCTGATCGTGGCAAACAACAACATTTTCCGGTCACGAAACATTTTAACTCCCCCTTCCACTCCCTTGGTGACATGTCCATCCTGGGCCTCCTCTAGTGTCACAATGACGCCACCCGCAAACTGGAGGAACAGCACCTCATATTCTGCCTCAGGAGCCTACAGCCTAATGGCCTAAATGTGGATTTTACTAGTTTCAAAATCTCCCCACCCCCGGCCTCATCCCATGACCAATCCACCCTTTCATCCCCGCCTCCTTGACCTGACATAACTTGTCAATCTTCTCTCCCAACTCTCCGCTCCTCCCACCTCACCGACCAATCCCCACCACTGCCTACCTGCTCTCACCTATCACCATCCCACCTACCTTCCCCAGCCTTGCCCCTCCTCTCTCTATTTATTTCATAGCTCCTTTCCCATCCCCCCCATTTCTGAAGAAGGGTCCCGACATAAAACATCAACTTTCCTGCTCCTCTGATGCTGCCTGGCCTGCTGTGTTCCTCCAGCTGCACACTGTGTTATGTCTGACTCCAGCATCTGCAGTTCTTACTATTTCTGTGGATAAGTGACTGAGATGTTAATAACGGACCATCTTGGGACAAGTGATCATAATTCTATTAGTTTTAAAATAGTTATGGAAAAGGATAGGCCTGGTCCACAAGCTAACGTTCTAAATTGAGGCAGGCTAATTTCGATGGCATTAGACAGGAACTTTCAAATGTTAATTGGGGGAAGCAGTTAGTAGATAAAGAGATTTCTGGCAAATAAGACTCTTTCAAAAGTGAGATAACGAGAGTTCAGGGACAGCATGTTCCTGTTAGTGTGAACAGCAAGGCTGGCAGGAGTAAGAAACACTGGATGACTATAGATATTGAGGCTCTGGTCAGGAAAAAGGAGACAGCTGGGATCATGTGAATCCCTTGAGAGTATAGGAGTACACTTAAGAGGGAAATCAAGAGGGAAAAAGGGAGCATGAGATAGCTTTGGCAGATAAGGTTAAGGAGAATCCAAAGCGATTCTACAAATACATTAAAGGACAAAAGAGTAACTAGGGAGAGAATTGGACTCCTGCAAGGTCAACAAGGCTGCCTTTGTGTAGAACCACAGGAAATCCTAAATGAACATGTCACATCAGTTTTTACCATGGAGAAAGACATAGAAGCTAGGGAACTCAGGGAAACAAATAGTTTACATTGTAGAAGAGGAGATGCTGGCTATCTTAAAAAAATATAAACATGGATAAAACCCCAGGACCTGATCAAGTGTATCCTGGGGCATTGTGGAAAGATAGGAAAGAAATTGCGGGGCCCCTAGCAGAGATATTGTATCATTGACAGCCACAGGCGAGATGTCGTAGAGACGACTGGAGGGTGGCCAGTGCTGTGTCATTATTTAAGACAGGCTGCAAGGAAAAACCAAGGAATTACAGGCTAGTGAGCCTGATGTCAATGGTGGGTAAGTTGTTGTAGGGGATTCTGAGATACAGGATCTACATTTATTGGAAAGGCAAGGACTGATTAGGGATAGTCAGCGTGGCTTTATGCGTGGGAAATCATTTCTTACAAACTTGGTAGTTTTTTTTTGATGAGGTGACCAAGAAGATAGATGAAGGCAGAGTGATAGACATTCTCTACATGGAATTTAGTAAGGCTTTTAACAAGTTCCGCATGGTTGACTGCTAAGTAAGGTTAGGTCACATGGGGTCCAGGGAGATCCAGCCAATTGGATAGAAAATTGGCTTGACAATAGGAGACAGAGGGTGGTAGTAGAGGTTTGTTGTTCAGACTGGAGGTCTGTGACTAGCAGTATGCAGTAAGGATCATTGCTAGGTTCACAGTTGTTCATCATTTATTTAAACAATTTAGATGAGAATATAGGAGGCATGGTCAGTAAGTTTGTTGAAGTTGGTGGTGTAGTCAACAGTGAAGAAGATTATCTAAGATTACAATGGAATCTTGATCAACTGGGCCAGTGGGCCCTGGAATGGCAGATGGAGTTCAATTTTGCTAAATGTGAGGTGTTGAGTTTTGGTAAGACAAACTAGGGCAGGACTTACAAAGTTAGCAGTAGGGCCATGGGGAGTGTTGCCAGACAGAGAGACCTAGGGGTGCAAGTACATTGTCCCTTGAAAGTGGCGTCACAGGTGGACAAGGTGGTGAAGACGGCATGTCATGTGCTTGTCTTCACCGGTTAGAGCACTGAGTTCAGTTGTTGGGACGTCATATTACAGCTGTACAAGACATTGGCAAGGCCATGTTTGGAGTACTGCATACAATTCTCATCGCACTGCTGGAAGGAAGGATGTTATTAAATTGGAAAGGGTGCAAAAACAATTTACAAGGGTATTACTGAGACTGGACGGTTTGAGTTATATGGAGAGGCTAGAAAGGCTCCTTTTCCCTGGAGTTAGGGGGCTGAGATGACCATTTAGAGATGTATGAAATCATAAGGGGCAGAGATAAGGTGAATAGCCAAGGTCTTTTCCCCTAGGGAAATCCAAAACTAGGAGGAATAGGTTTAAGGTGAGAGGAGAAAGATTTAACAGGGACCTGAGGGGCAACGTTTTCACACAGAGGGTGGTACGTATATGGAATGGCTTTCCAGAAGAAGTGGGAAAGGGAGTACAGTCACAACATTTAAAAGACATTTGGATAGGTACATGATAGGAAAGGTCAAGAGGGATATTGGCTGACACAGGCAAATGGGACCAGTTCAGTTTAGAAACCTGGTTGGCATGGACAAGTTGGACCGAAGGGTCTGTTTCCGTGCTGTATGAGTATATTAGCCATGACTTATAGCATTCAAACAGAGGTTGTAATACCTGCTGGCCACTGGATTATAGGTTTTTTGTACAATGCTTGACTGAAACAGATTTTTTTGTTTGGGTATGACAAAAGCTGCCGTAAACTCATTGTTTTTAAGCGTACTACAATTTAATTATTCACAGCAGGCGGGATGCATAGAGCCTGGTCCTACAGCATTGCACTTACTACGCAGCACAACTGAATGATAACCAATCTGTTTGCTTAGAAACCCAAATCGAATCTGTGCCAAAAATTTTTATGCCACCATAATCCTGTCATAAAGCCAGAAGAAGGGCCTGTTTGAATAACTGAAGTGGTGATGTGCTTTTGGAAGGGTTACAGGGGCATTAGCCCTCCTGGAACCAGTATTACTTCCCAGCATTCCTTCACTGTTAGGGGAGGGGGTTGAGGCCAATTAAAGGTGCGGATATTCAGATAGTTACACTCCTTGGCCCAGAGGTATTGATTGCCATTAACTTTGGACCCATGTTTGCCCTAGAACAGAACTGACCTAATCTCAGTAGATTACAGATATCACTTGGTCAATCTTAGGGGATAGTCAGGAGGACAACCCCTCACCAGACTGTAACTTAAATTGCTACTTAGTTGTTAGGACAGAATAAAACTTAGGACAGAATAAAACACTCAGCTTCCCCCTCTCAGCTGTTCAATGTCATTCTGTAAATAAATTTCAGTGTACTCTATCTTCTCTTCAACAACACCAAATCTTGATATTTTTGCAATAGATCCAACTGATATATTGTAAGAACATATCAACTCCTCTAATTCCTTTCAATATTTTCTCATAAACTGAGAATTTCAATCTGCCCTCTTATTCTCTTGCTCCTTTTTCAATGTCTTCTTTCTTCCAATTGATAGATGCCTGAAGACTTATCAAATGTGAGGGCTCATTATGCAATTTTTACACAAAATGTAGCTACTTTTCTTCCAAAGCACATATCTGAGAAAATCACACCCCTTACTGAGCATGACCAGTACCTAGTGCTTCGCATTCATCTTGCACAGAACTGCCTGCAGCTTTTAGTATTGCACCAGATACACCTGTAAGAGAAAAGAATATTAAAAAGAAAATAGGACCTTTGTTACTTGAAAAAAACAGAATCATCAGTCACATTTAGATTTTTTGTGTAATTTGGGCAATTTTAAAATTGGACGATAATGCAAATTGGTCAGTGGAGAGCCAACCATTCAACCTTCCCCAAAAGTTATTTTCCCTCACAGAACAGTGTGGAAACAGGCCATTTGGCCCATCAAGTCACACTGACCCTCTGAAGAACATTCCCACCCCCCTATCCTTGTAACCCTGCATTTCCCATGACTAATCCATCTAGCCTGCATGTCCATGGACTCTGGGGGCAGTTTAGCGTGACCAAGTCACCTAACCTGCACATCTTTAGACTATGTGAGGAACATGGTGTACCTGGAGGAAACTCACACAGACACGAGGAGAAGGTGCAAACTCCACACAAAATGTAGCTACTTTTCTTCCAAAGCACATATCTGAGAAAATCACACCCCTTACTGAGGGGTGGAATCGAATTGGGGTTCCTGATGCTGGGCGGCAGCAATGCTAACCACTGAGCCATCGTGCCACCCTCAGGGCTCTTTAGAGGACATTAAGTCAACACTTGAATGTTATTTGTGCAATTCTGCTCCTCGCAGGCCCAAAAGAGAAGTCAATAAAAATTAAAACAATTGCAATTTTTTTGGCTGGTCCTTTGGACCTAAATGCTCATCCACAATGGTTTCTTTATTCAGGTTGAAATAATAGTTGCACCTTGATAATGTCATAGAAGCTCAATTTACTATTTAATGAATGATCCCACCAGTTTCGAGTCAATGCCCTTTCTGTCTGCAAAGGAAAATAGTTTAAAATTGAAACCAGTGTGAAATATGCCAAAGAATAGTTGCACGGCCAATTTTAACTGCCTATTTCCGCACTGTTCAGATGACTGTAAGTTGTGGACATTTTTTTCCATTTAGTGTCTATTTAGAGAGATGACCACTTAGACTTACCAGTATTTAAGTTTAAATTGTTGTTGGTAGAATTTACTATGGCATCTGTACTTTCCTGGGTGATATCACCTTTTTTTAGATTTATTGTTATCCCACATATTTGTATTCCTGCTGCTGCTGGCGTAGAAACTGCAGAGAGATCAAAACATCATTACTCTGAATTAAATGAATATATGATTTACATATGTTATGTCATTAAACACTAAACATTTTTCTTGTAAAATCTTAAATGACAATGAATTATGGTTTCTTTATTTTATTTGCAATTTTTACGGTTTTAACATATTTTAAGGTTACAGCCCTCATTTGCAAGTCTCTGTGTTAGGATGACAGCTTGATACATGATCTAGAGTTGCTCCCACTTCCACCACATTTTCTATTGAATCCTTTAGTTCTATTAAGCAGTTGCTGTCACATTATTTTTCTTGCGTTCTTTCCTGTTTGTTATCTGTATTTACATCTTAATGAAGTTCAATCAATTCGCTTCCTCTCATTTATGTCCTCTTTGGGAAAATGTGTTACAAAGGGCAAAGATAGGACTCACACGTACATTTCCCTGACCGTGTAGTGCGTGGGACGTTAAAAGGAACAAAGTAAAACATTTAAGAAAATGTTGGAACTTGTCGTACAGGGATTTCATTATTTATGATATTAAGAAAGGTGTAAAATTTGAAGCATAAATTTTAAGGCCTCCTAGACAGAGGAAATAGCCTTGAAAATAACTGAAGGCACCCACTTCCCCATCCTTGTTGTCTCTGGCAATATTTTACAGAGCCTACTGCTGAATGATGGGGGAAGGTCCTTGAGCTTGTTGGTAGGCTTATTTAAGATGGGGTTTCTGAGGACCCCAAATGGCAGTTTTTAACCAGACATGAGTGGAAATTATGCCGTACATGTTCCAGTCAGTATCAGCTGAATGTTGGGCCAAAGGGCATTCATTCCTCCTTCTTTTTGTGAGACTAACAGGCCCAAGGATACATATCTACATTCGCTGCTGGGACCAACCACATGGTTCCCCTGCATCCTGTCATGACTTCAGATATGAGGGCCACATCCCACTCTTTATCCTAATTCCTTTTGATTCACAGATCAATTAAGCCTCCTGATTGTACATCAGCTCAAGGCCAAAGGGTTTCCCTGGGGCTTGCAAACTCTGACCTCAGGTCACCACAAGAACCGAGCCCTGACTCTCAAACTATTCCAGGGTGTCACAATTACAGTCAGCTGTCCAGCATCCTCTGGTGGTCAAGTTGATGATACCAACTCACCAGGCTCAGGGGTTGGGTGGGGGTGTGGAATAACACACTCATGGTTTTCATCCGCCTTAAGAATCTTGAAACTACCTCACACATTATCCATTATGCCTTGTGCAAGTGGAACCGTGATTACAATAAAGGCATGAGTCAAGTCCCAGAAATTTCCCACAATTCATTCAGTCAAGCTATGCCAAAGATTAACATAGCTCATAAACTGTCATGAGAATTATGTCAACAGAAGCATTTCTAGAAACTATTGACGTTCCAGTTGTATTTTGTTAAATTTGTTGATTCTACTGCCATGCTTAAAAATTACGAGTGATATCTTACCTTGGGGAGGTAGTATTGGTGGCATGTGGGTTTGTTTCTGTTGTAACATAATCTAAGCATCAAATAAACAATTATTAAAGAGCAGACAAGTGTGAATAAATTAACAACAATGCATTATTCCTGCAACTGGTTCAATAAATTCCTTAGGATTCTCAGCAACACAGATGTCAGCCTTTGGCCAATTCAATTTAATTCACAGAGCATAAAGAAGCAGCTGAACACACACTTGATATGGGGTCAAGTAAATTATACAGTTGCAGTTAAGGATAAACAAGGGAAGGGTATTGATTGATTAATTATCACCAAATTCATTGGAAGGGTTCTAGTGGTGCAGTACAAGTGTCCCTACCTCTGAGCCAGGAAGAACCAGGTTCAAGTCCCATGTACTTCAGAGGTGTGTAATAAAATCTCTGAACAGGTCAATTATAAAATTGTTGACTGCATTTAGATTGGAACTGAAGGGTCTAGTTAGGAAGCTGGGCACTACACACTTAAATTCTGTGAATAAATCTAATGTCAAAAATAAACTCTGTAAACTGATTCTCACTTCACCATCTGGCTTGGATCTAATTTAACAGTAGCCTGAAGATTTGTGCTCTGGTACAACTACAACACTGGTATCTACCAGATAATATGGAAAATGGTGTTATGTCCTGTCCAGAAAAAGCAGCACAAACCTAATCTAGTGAATTACAACTTTATCAGTATAATATTGGAAGGTGTTAAAAATACAATCAAGTGGCACTTAACAGCAAGTGCTACATTCAGTGAAAAAAGACAGAATTACAGTTATAATGAAGTACTTCTTTTAAGCCCTTTTGAGGTGTTTTTAGCCATTTTAAGCCTCACTGGCACCATTCTTATCGTGCCCCCTCCCTTCACCCTGTAAACGTTTGGGACCTTGGCATTAATTCTACTCAACAATATATATTCATCTGACTTTTAGACGAGTATAATGGTTTACCAGGCAAATAAGTTGAAGTCACTTGATTGTGTAGACTTACAGGTTGTGGGTGGCTTGACAAACTCTGGCACTCTTCCTTGGTTTCAATTAACAATATGCATCCACAAACTCTGGCCTTGACTTGTAGGATATCTTTGTGTTTAGACAGTGCTTTGGCCTCTCCTGGCTTGTTGTAAGTATACGTTGCTGACTGAATTTGTGATAACTTATCCTTAATAGCAGAAACTGCCTCATTCATATGCTCTGCTGTACCAGATATTTTTAAACCTGGAGAAGGCTTTCTGATATATGATATAATGATGTCTTTGTTTTGAATTTCAGGTAGTTCTGAAAGAGTGAAGCAATTTTCCATATAGTTCACCTGCATTACTGTGGCAGAAATAACTTGTGTGATCACCTCCTTATTGTCTAGGTAATTGTTTATCATTTTTGCAACATCAACAACAATGTTGGAATATCCTACAATTAATATGGTGCCCTGATTCTTCTCCTCTCTGATTCTGCAGCCTGCAGTGTTTGACTTCATGTCAACTTCTAAATCATCAAGGAACCTTTTCCAGTTGTCAACTTCAGTGACTTTGATTTGTTGTGGAGTCAAGTCAATCCTAATTTCCTGGAAAAGTTGCTTTATTTTATCTTCCCCTTTACTTACATCGGCCTTGACAGCCAAGAGCTCAACTGATTGTCCATACACCAATGTGGCCTTTATACCATTTTGAATGAAGTGAGTTTGCACAAATTCCTTGAGGTCTAACGATTTGATAAAATCCGTCATGCATGAAGACTGATTGAGGGGCTTCCTCTCTAACTGTGATTGAAACTGGCTGATGATTTTGTGAGCTTGGCAAACGTCTTCCTTCAGCCCTTTCAGTTTTAAAGTAGGGGGAGCTTTGCAGGTGGCGATTTCCACAGAGGAAACAGTGGCTTTGACATGGCTTTGCACAAATTCCAACTCCTCGAGACTTTGCAATAAAACCTGCTCTTCAACGGTATTTCTTTCGATATCTAATTCTTTCCTTGCTTTTTCCAATATTCCCTCTAGGACTTTGGAAGTTTCCAAAATGTTAGTTTTTTTGCCAACAAGGACAATCTTGTTTTCTGCAGAAGAATAAACAACATCAATGCCAGGTGCTTTCAGCCCCCTACTTTTGTTCTTCACTTTCTCCCACAATTCTTTATCTGTTGGAAAGTCCCTGAAGTCGAATTGCCCAATGAATTTCTGAATTGCCTCTTCTGCCAGCTTCTTCCAGTCCTTAGCAATTTTGTAGCACAACAATATATTTGCATCAAAAGATGGCTTCAAAATCATTTGGTTTGAATTTTGAGAGTCCGTAAATGTAATGTTACAATAAACACTCTTTGCAATTTCTTCTATCTCCTGTTTACAGCGACGAGTGTTTGCAATGTAGTTCAGAAGAACAGTATTGATGCAAATACCACATTGTTCAGGCAGTTTGAATTTTGGATCATTACCTCCACACAATGATAATTGCTGATCATGGTAATAGCGAATAACTGATAGCTGAACACCCTTTAGGCAATGCTCCCTCTCGATGACTCTTTTTACCACTGCAAAAATACAATTGGAACAAAGTAAATTGCACAAATAAATACATTCTTTACCTAGTCTTTTGTAGACTTACAACACACTCTCAGTCTGAAGGAGAGTCATATTTAACTAAAATAGTTAGGTCTGTTCCCTTCCCTGTAAATGCTTTCAGATCTGCTTCATATTTTGAGCACATTCTATTTTTATTTCAGACTTACAGAAACCAGAGCATTTTGCCTTGATTCCACACATGTTTATCAGCTTTTAAGTGCAATTTCATTCAGCTGCCATTGTGGGTCAGCCACTGAGTTGGATACCTGAATCAATTCCAGAATTGAAGTTTTGATGGGAAAGGGACAGTAAATCAATTTTCCCAGTTGTAATTATTCCCTGACCCAATCTTTCCGCAAGTTGGCTTAAAATCAGGGCCATGAATAGTTATTATGAAACTTAGAAACAATGTGGTGGAAAAGACAAAAATTTAACATTTGAATTATGAAATACTGTTTTAAAAAATAGAAATACCATACCCTCATGATCTTGGTAACAAACAATAGCTTTCTCTGCATGTCTTTGAACAATGATTTCAGTGATATCCCCACCACCACTGCGATTTGTATTTGAAAAGTACAAGTCGAGCAAATCATCACTCAAACTGGGCTGAACTCCTTCTATCTGCACTGAATTTGTCTTGGCCAGTCGTTTGGCAGTGATGCAACTGTTTTCAAATGGCTTCTGACCACAATTCTTCAGAAAGGAGTTGGCATCTAATAAAACAACGTAATGAAAAGTTCTATATTACAGCACAATAGACATTCTTTACGATTTGCAATACAGAATTCAGGGAAACCATTTCATTAAGTCCATCTATCAATCACACTGACTTCAATTCCAAACATGCAAATAAATGAGTCACTATTAACTAAAGAAAAATTGTAAAAAAAAACACAAAATTTAAGAATACCGACCTATATCAGTCTCAAATGTGATCACCACTGTTTCACCATCCTGCAAAGGTTCAATACGATGCCGTGTGCTATTACTGAGACTGTCAATGTACAATGAAATATGATCTAATCTCGAATTAACATCAAAACCTTTCAAAAGAAAAGTTCGGGGCTCATACTTTTCATCTTCTTTCCTTCTATCATATAATTGCACATCCAGAGTTTTGCCACCCAGCTTGTGCTGTTTTTGTGAAATTATTTTTTCCAAATCTGTAAACACAAACCAGAAAGGCAAAACAATCAGTCAATTTTTTATTTGTGTGCATCTTACCTTGTATTACCCTTAACAAGCATTGTGCACAATAAAAATGGTACAAGTCCAACTGTTTTGTGCATAACCTAATGTAACAGGCAACCAAGGAGAGATTGTGCTGAAAATGTTCATGAAGTCATTTGCAGCTACCTCATAAATTCACAGATATTCACTGCAAATTGTGAACTAAGGATACTTTGAGAGAGAACTGTCAGTCTTACACATTACTTTTTTCAGCAAAAACAGAAATTGCTGGATAAGCTCAACAGGTCTGGCAGCATCTGTGGAGAGAAATCTGAGTTAATGTTTTAGGTCGAAACGTTAACTCTGATTTCTCTCCAACAGGTGCCGCCAAACCTGTTGTGTTTTTTTCAGCAATTTCTATTTTTGTTTCTGATTTTCATCATCTGCAGTTCTTTCAGTTTTTAATTAATTTTTTGAGCACGTCAGTGAAAAGTTTAAAAAAACTGCATTAGTGTGTTTTGGTGCTGTGAGTGCCTTCCATACAAAATAATTACTGCTTTCCTTCTACCCTGTTGTTAAATCAGATCTGAGAATGTTTGGTGTGAGCTGACCTTGATGTTACTGAAAAGGTTTATTTGTCTCTTCTCTCCAGTAGCAGACTCAACAGCTTGTGAATAAGGTTATCCTGTTCTGGGATTTTTGAAAGATTTTACTTGCAATGAAAATGATTTTGAGACTGAGTTATGTTTAATTGCTGTGCTTTAAAAACAAAGTGATCTGGCGAAGATTTACAATGGAATGGTCAAATGCAATAGATATTTAATAAAATGTTTTAAAGCTGGCCGACCATTTCAATGAAACAGATACATTAAGTATCTTTGGCCTTGTCCCAATTCTTGTCATTAACAAAAGACATAAAACCGTTCATAATATCATCTCAGATGGTCAAACAAATATGCATTCAAATTAGGCCCAAATCCAGGAATCGCTCAGACTTCCAACAACAGCTAACTTTTCAACAGTTGCAGATGGAAGTCAAAAATTCCACTTTGTGCCATACCCATGAACCCCTGTAATATGTAATTTGGATTATAAAGGGCTTCCATGATTACATCACTTGTTACATTATAATTTACATGGGTACTGGGTAGTACAGGCATAATTCCTCAACGTAAGACATTCAGAAACTTACGAGAGCAATCAGGACAACTATATTTATGAGGATGTTGAAACTGAGCCCAAAATCTGAAACTGAGGTGAAAAACATAACACACCATTCAATGAGTTATTATAAATCATGGGCAGTGAGATTAATACATCCTTCTAAAGCCTGGGATTGCTAATTGGGTGAAATCCTATGATTACATTGAATGGCATTCCCTCAATTCTTTCTTTCCCTATCTCAAATGTGCTTTGCTCTCTCTGTCTTCCCCTTTTATAAATCAGGCACTTGCTTTTAGAAATAAATTAAAGTCTAGAACTGAGACTATGTATTAGTCTCTTACTAAACGGAGTATGTGCTGTATAAAGCAGAAACTATTAATAATTCTACTTGAATATTACTTTTATTTAATTTTACTGTTCATTTGTGCCATAAAAAGACAAATTCTATGGACTCCTGTGCAGAATATTAGCACACCAATGCACAGCTTAATGTTATATAAATAGTAGGTATCTGCCGAATGCAATCATTTCCACTTTGGTACCTTTAGATTTCTGCCACGTATTCTCATTGTTTCCCTCAATGTTACAGTTAATGATATATACATTTACCGTTTCTGCTTGAGCAGGTTACAAACCAAGAAGTTACGTCATTTTCATGGATTTTCACATCTGACGCAAACTTTTCAAAATACATTGCTACAACATCTGTATCTAATGGACCATCACTGCTGACCAGCATCTGACTGAGGCAGCTGTCCTCTGTGTTGTAGGGCTCTAGAACTGAAAAAGAAAAATCCACATGTGAAGGTGATATTTTTCCCCCGCTGTAGATAACAATTGTGACACATAATGATGGCTATGATAAGATAAAATTAGTTCTGCAGAAACAAAGTCTGTACCTGATCCTTCCATTGGAACTGAAGATCCTTGATTTTGAGATCCTTTTGTTAGCGTCTGCAGAATAATAAAAAGGGAGTATTCACAGAATTTCTACAGTGCAGAAACAGGCTGTTCGGCCCAATAAGTCCACATTGACACTCTGAACTGCATCCCACCCAATTACCCTATCCCTACATTTCCAATGGATAATCCCCCTAACCTATGCATTCCTGGACACTGTGGGCAATTTAGCATGATCAATCCACCTAACCTGCACATCTTTGGACTGTGAGAGGAAGCCAGAGCACCCAGAAGAAATCTGCACAGACACCAGGAGAATATGCAAACTTTACACAGACAGTTGCCTGAAGCTGGGATTGAACCCAGATCCCTAGAGCTGTGAGACAACAGCGCTAACCACTGAGCCACCAAGCTGCCTATTGCACAGCATTATTTATTAATGTGTTCTGTGTAAAGTAGCCGTATGTTTGATTTGGAATGAATGAAAATAAAGACCACAAATAGAATAAAAATTAGTCAGCTTGCTTTCCATTTTTCTCCTAATTTTCTCTCCTCCCCTAAATGTCTCATCCTGAGGTATTCTTCCATCACAGATTTATATATTTTGGTATTGCTATGATCCTAGCTAATGTTATTAGAGGGCAAGACTGATCCCAGACTGGAATCTGTCTTAATAGATCATATTTTAAAACATTATCGACATGGTCTTTCAATGAAACATAAGTATGCAATGTTGCAGATTTGGTCTAACAATAAAACAAAGGCTTGTTATATGAAAGAAATGAAGCTAAAACAAAACCAAAGAATTTACACATAACACAATTTGAAAGACTTCAAAACACACAGAGAAACAAAATCCCCCTGTTCCAACACTATTCCTTTATTCTAAACACCATAAAAAATTTCCTTTTTATCACATCTATAGTATTGCAATGTTGGGTAGAGTATTTGTGGATTGGAAAGCAGAACATGAGAATTTGGTGTTTGTAAATCATAGAATCCCTACAATATGGAAACAGGCCCTTTGGCCCAACAAGTCCACACCAACACTCAGACATCCCACCCAGACCCATCCCTGAACACTACGGGCAATTTAGCATAGCCAATCCACCTAACGTGCACATTTTTGGACTGTGGGAGGAAACTGGAGCAAACCCATGCAGATATGGGGAGAATGTTCAAACTCCATGCAGATAGTTGCCTGAGGGTAGAATTGAACCAATGTCCCTGGTGCTGTGAGGCAGCAGTGCTAACCAGTGAGCCACCATGCTACCCCAATATTGGTGTTTGTAAAATGATAGTGGGGGAAAGCAGTGTGTGGTCCCATTAAAAGATGATGTGCTTTTTCTATGCTTAGAGATTCAAAAAGGATGTTTGTGGGCAGCAGCTTGTGGGTTTGCAGGTGCACACACAGCACCTGAATTGAAACATTTGTATCAAAAGGCCGTACTGTTAGCAGGCCAAGCTGCAGTTTCTACCAAGACAATAAATTTTGAACTTAGCCAATTAATTTGTACCAGGCACTTAAAGAACAAAGAACAAAGAAAATTACAGCACAGGAACAGGCCCTTCGGCCCTCCAAGCCTGCACCGATCCAAATCCTCTATCTAAACCGGTCACCTATTTTCCAAGGATCTGTATCCCTCTGCTCCCTGCCCATTCATGTACCTGTCTAGAAACATCTTAAATGACGCTATCGTGCCCGCCTCTACCACCTCCGCTGGCAATGCGTTCCAGGCACCCAACACCCTCTGTGTAAAGAACTTTCCAAACATATCTCCTTAAACTTTTCCCCTCTCACTTTGAAATCGTGACTCCTAGTAATTCAGTCTCCCACTCTGGGAAAAAGCTTCTTGCTATCCACCCTGTCTATACCTCTCATGATTTTGTAGACCTCAATCAGGTCCCCCCTCAACCTCCGTCTTTCTAATGTAAATAATCCTAATCTACTCAACCTCTCTTCACAGCTAGCACCCTCCATACCAGGCAACATCCTGGTAAACCTCCTCTGCACCTCTCCAAACCATCCACACAACCAGAACTGTACGCAGTATTCCAAATGTGGTCGAACCAAAGTCCTATACAACTGTAACATGACCTGCCAACTCTTGTACTCAATACCCCGGCCGATGAATGAAAGCATGCCGTATGCCTTCTTGACCACTCTATCGACCTGTGTTACCACCTCCAAGGTACAATGGACCTGAACACTCAGATCTCTCTGGGCATCAATTTTCCCCAGGGCTTAGATACCAAAAACCCATTAAATCTAAATCTGGTGGTTTTGACAACATAGGGCCAATCCAACTGTAAGAACTTGATATGTTATAAAGAGTATAAAAGAAGAGGGCAGTTGGACAAGGACAGGGGAGCAAACTGCCACCTGCCAGAGTTAACAGCTCTCAGCTCTAAAGAAAGAATCGCTGGCTCTTACAGTCTTCTCTAAGTTTTAGAGAAAACGCCACCTAAATCAAAGTTACCTATGGCACAACTAGTTAATATTCCTGACAGAAGAATTGACGGAGAAGGCGTTCCTGACAGAACATTCTACGGAGAAGTCAGAGAACATTCTGGAAGATACGCAACCTGGCTGTAATTTTGAAAGACCAAATTCAATTTTTAAAATTTTATTTTATGAAAGTGGGACTTATATTTATTGGAACAGCATACCATTAGAATCTTGTTTTATTTGAGAATAGTTATTAGTTAGAAGGGGTTTATTTGGCTTGTTAATAATTTAGTTAATTTGATCACTGTTGGAGTTAGATAAATAAATTATAACTTGTTGATTGTCAACATGATTGTCAGGGGTTTGTTTTATTTAAAGCTGTTGAAAGGCAGATTATGCTACTTCTCACACTCCTTTTTAACAGATTATAGGGCAAGGCACTCCTCTTTGGGTGTCAATTTTAGTTCTAAGGGTTGGTGAGTGGTCAACCTCCACTTTATAAAAACAGTTTTGGACTTAACTGTCTCTTTAAATTCCTGATTTTGACAGTTTGATAGTCCTTTCCTTGATTACTCACACACAACTGAGCTTAAACTTTCATAGCTTTAATTATCCCCTTCAGATGTCTAAGCAAACACATCTGGTATGAAATTTTCATACTAAAAGCCAGGTGCCTAATTGTGCCTAATTGTTCTGAAATAACTCCTTTCTCCAGGAGAAACTGTATCCACATCTAACCCCAGATAGGTTGTCTGTGAACTGAAACCAAAAGCTTTTCAATCTTTGGGTTTCATGATTCTTGCATACCAAAACAATATAATGCTTTTCAATATTTTCTCTGTTTGATCATAGAACTCTCACAACATAAACAAATTCCCATTGTCACTCAGGGATTTTGATTTTGGACAGATACTGGTTTAAAATCATTGCTTTAGAAAGGCTGACAAACCGGAGTCATCATCACAAGTACAGATTTCTGAAGAAGAATTCAAGAAGTACACCAATATCTAAAGAAAAGAGAGTTCAGTGAGCCATTAATGCTCAAGGGAGATGGTCCAGTACTATCAGCTTGTGACAAAAGTGACTTTGGCTACAGATCAATATTTTAGACAATTTGTGAATTCTTTTTTGTTTCTGAATTTAGTTCCTTGGGCAAAGTACTTTAAGATTATACCACAGTCTTATAATTTTAGCCAGACTTGAAGATTCCTATTCTGTGAGTTTCAACTCACAAACTTTGACGTGAGACAAAGTGTAGAGCTGGATGAACACAGCAGGCCAAGCAGCATCAGAGGAGCAGGAAAGCTGGTGTTTCGGGCCTAGACCCTTCTTCAGAAATGGGGGAGGAGAAGAGGGTTCTGAAATAAAGAGGGAGAGAGGGGGAGGCGGACAGAAGATGGATAGAGGAGAAGATAGGTGGAGAGGAGACAGATAGGACAAAGAGGCGGGGATGGAGTCAGTAAAGGTGAGTGTAGGTGGGGAGTTAGGGAGGGGATAGGTCAGCCCAGGGAGGACAGACAGGTTAAGGGGACGGGATGAGGCTAGTAGTAGGAGATGGGGGTGGGGCTTGAGGTGGGAGGAGGGGATGGGTGGGAGGAACGATTGGTTAGGGAGGCGGGGACAAGCTGGGCTGGTTTTGGGATGCGGTAGGGGGAGGGGAGATTTTGAAGCTTGCGAAGTCCCCTTTTCTCCCCCTTGGTCCAGGAACTCCCCACCTACGTCCGTGACACCACCCACGCCCTCCACCTCCTCCAAAACTTCCAATTCCCTGGTCCCCAACATCTCATCTTTACCATAGACGTCCAGTCCCTATACACCTGCATTCCCCATTCAGATGGCCTAAAGGCCCTCCGCTTCTTCCTGTCTCGCAGGCCCGACCAGTCCCCCTCCACTGACACCCTCATCCGCTTAGCCAAACTCGTCCTCATCCTCAACAACTTCTCTTTCAATTCCTCCCACTTCCTACAGACAAAGAGGGTGGCCATGGGTACCCGCATGGGCCCAAGCTATGCCTGCCTCTTTATAGGTTACGTGGAACAATCCCTCTTCCGTACCTACACTGGCCCTAAACCCCACCTCTTCCTCCGTTACATTGATGACTGTATCGGCGCCACCTCGTGCTCCCACGAGGAGCTCGAACAGTTCATCCACTTCACCAACACCTTCCACCCCAACCTTAAGTTCACCTGGACCATCACCAATACCTCTCTCTCCTTCCTGGACCTCTCTGTTTCCATCTCTGGCAACCACCTTGAAACCAATATCCATTTCAAGCCCACCGACTCCCACAGCTACCTAGAATACGCCTCCTCCCATCCACCTTCCTGCAAAAAAACCCCTATTCCCAATCCCTTCGCCTCCGCCGCATCTGCTCCCAGGGTGAGACATTCCACTCCCGAACATCTCAGATGTCCTCGTTTTTCAAGGACCGCAACATCCCCCCACTCAGTGGTCGAGAACGCCCTCGACCGTGTCTCCCGCATTTCCCGCAACTCATCCCTCACACCCCGTCCCCGCAATAACAACCAAAACAGAATCCCCGTCGTCCTCACGTACCACCCCACCAACCTCCGGATCCAACGCATCATCCTCCGACACTTCCGCCATCTGCAATCCGACCCCACCACCAAAGACATTTTTCCCTCCCCACCCTTATCTACTTTCCGGAGGGACCACTCTCTCTGTGACTCCTTTGTCCGCTCCACACTCCCCTCCAGCCCCACCTCACCCGGCACTTTTCCCTGCAACCGCAGGAAATGCTACACCTGCCCCTACACCTCCCCCCTCACCCCCATCCCAGGCCCCAAGAAGACTTTCCACATTAAGCAGATGTTCACCTGCACATCTACTAATGTGGTATACTGCATCCGCTGTTCCCGTTGTGGCCTCCTCTACATCGGGGAAACCAAGCGGAGGCTTGCGGACCGCTTTGCAGAACACCTACGCTCAGTTCGCACTAAACAACTGCACCTCCCAGTCGCGAACCATTTCAACTCCCCCTCCCATTCGTCAGACGACATGTCCATTCTGGGCCTCCTGCAGTGCCACAACAATGCCACCCTAAGGTTGCAGGAACAGCACCTCATAGTCCGCTTGGGAACCCTGCAGCCCAATGGTATCAATGTGGGCTTCATAAGCTTCAAAATCTCACCTCCCCATACCGCATCCCAAAACCAGCCCAGCTTGTCCCCACCTCCCTAACCTGTCCTTCCTCCCACCTGTCCCCTCCTCCCACTTCAAGCCCCACCCCCATCTCCTACTACTAGCCCCCTTGACCTGTCCGTCCTCCCTGGACAGACCTATCCCCTCCCTAACTCCCCACCTACACTCACCTTTACTGGCTCCATCCCCGCCTCTTTGACCTGTCTGTCTCCTCTCCAGCTATCTTCTCCTCTATCCATCTTCTATCCGCCTCCCCCTCTCTCCCTATTTATTTCAGAACCCCTTTCCCCTCCCCCATTTCTGAAGAAGGGTCTAGGCCCGAAACGTCATCTTTCCTGCTCCTCTGATGCTGCTTGGCCTGCTGTGTTCATCCAGCTCTACACCTTGTTGTCTCAGATTCTCCAACATCTGCAGTTCCTACTATCTCTGAAACAACTTTGACGTGACAATTTGCAGAGAAGGAGAAGGCAAAGCATTCTGCTCCTCAGGTAAGTTATTGTAGGCTCTGTGTGTACAAATCTAAAATTCTCCCACAAACTGGGTCTCTCAAACTGTTATGTGACTGCAGACTGTGGCATACTGCGTGTGTGTTGTACCGTTTCAAACTATTCTTAATAACCTTTATATCCTTCCTTGAGTAAATATTGTTTGCCCTAAACCATTCTTTAATTTGCTACCTAAGGAATC